ACAACAACATGCATATGAAAGCTGGACAGTGAATAAGGAAGACCCAAGAAGAACTGATGCTTTTGAGCTGTGGTGTTGGCAAAGAATACTGAAAGTACCATAGACAGCCAGAAGAAGTAAGAAATAACCGGAATGTTTCTTGGAAGTGAGAATGGCCAGACTTCATCTCACGTACTTTGGTCATGTTGTCAGAAGGGATCATTCCATGGAGAAGCATATCATACTTGGTAAAGCAGCGGGTCACCGAAAAAGGGGAAGGCTCTCAAAGAGATGGACTGACACAGTGGCTGCAACAATGGGATTAGGTATAGCAAGGATTGTGAGGCTGGTGCAGCACTGGGCAGCGTTTCTTCTGTTGTACACAGGGTCGCTGTAAGTTGGAGCCAACTGGACCCCACCTGACAACAACTATATGCCAGGCGCTTTTAGGCACTTTGGATATATCAGTGAACAAAGACAAAGGTCCTTGGAATAGCTCACATTCCAGTGGGGAGAGAAAAGTAAGTAACTGTATAATATAGTTGTTAGGTGTAGTTGAGTCTATTTTGACTTATAGTGACCCCACATGACAGAGTATAACTGCCCCATGGGGTTTTCTAGTCTGAGTGGAGGGCAGTTAAGCACTTAGCTGCTAACTGAAAGGTTGGCTGTTCAAATCCATCCACAGCTCCATGGCAGAAGCAATCTGCTCCAGTAAAGATTATCCACTGCCATCCAGTCAATTTAGACTCATAGTGACTGGGTTTCCAAGACTGTAAATCTTTATGGAAGTAGATTGCCTCATCTTCCTCCCATGGAGAAGCTGGTGGGTTTCAACTACGGACCTTCTGGTTAGCAGCAAAATGCCTTATCCACTATGTTACCATAGCTCCTTCCATAAAGATTACAGCCCAGGACACCCAATGGGGAAGTTGTACTTTGTCCTTTGGAGTAGCTATGAGTCGGAAGCAACTCAAGGGCTCACAACAAAAATGACCACTACAATCATTACAGAGGCAGATCTCCAAGTCTTTCTCCCCGGAAGAAACTAGGTGGGTTCAAACTGCCAACCTTTTGGTTAGCAACCTTTGCATTAGCAGGGCACATTGTCCATATAATGAATTAAGTGTCGAATGCTGTAAACCAAAAACCAAAAAACCAAAGTCACTGTCGTGGAGTCAACTGTGACTCATAGCGGCCCCTTCTTGGTTTTTTGAGGCGGTATCTCTACGGAAATAGATTGCCCAGTCTTCCTTGCTGGTGAGTTCGAACCACCAGCCTTCTGGTTAGTGATCAGATGCCTTACGCACTACACCACCAGAGCTCCTAAATGCTGCAAGGACAAATACAAATTGAAAATAAGAGGTTTTAATTCTCCCTGTTAAAAATGAGGGAAATAAGTTGCCCCTCTTCCCCTATTGCTTCAGAATTCACTTTCTCCATAAAACCCATTTAATGTGGAGTGGATTCTGACTCTTAGCGAGTTTCCAAAAAAAAAAAAAAGACCCACCAAACTCATTGCTTGGGTTTTCAAGGAGGTGTCTCTATGGAAGTAGATTGCCCAGTCTTCCTTCCAAGGAGTGGCTGATGAGTTTGAACCCCAGCCTGCTGGTTAGCAGTCAAATGCCTTAGGCACTATACCACCAGAGCTCCTTTAGCGAGTTGAGCAAACTTTAATTGTAAATTCTTTCTCTATCTCTTTATAGGTAAATCAAAGATGTTTCCTAAAGGACCTGGAACCATCTCTTTTGAAATGTACTCATTACAGAAGATCACAACATTTCCTCCCAGTTTCCTGGAAGGAGATTAGCATAACTTCTAGTATCCTGACATAAAGATATTAGAAAATTAGCAATTTATCTGGAAAACATGAATGGAATGGGCTGTCTCAACTTAGCTATATAGAAGGTCAGATTCTTGTCTGTCTTTGCAATCTCTTTAGCAGATTGCCTGTGATGCAAAACACTCTGGTTTAATGCTTACTCGAAAATGAAACTTTTCTTTCTCTTCTGTATTTATGGAGAGGTTTTCTGGGTTGGGAGTAGGTTTTGTTCTTAATTATATTTCCCCAACAGTGCCACGAAAAACAAAAAAGTAGAGTAGCATGGGGGGGGGATTAGGACTTTTAGGGGCAGGGTAGGTCACAATGAGACGAGGCTGTGTGAAGACTTGAAGGAGTAAAGGGAGGTAGCAAACTATCCTGGGGAAGAGCAGCCCAAATAGAGGGAACCAAACCCAAAACCAAACTCACTGACACTGAGTTGATTCTGGCTCATAGTGAGTGACCCCTTTTGGGTTTCCGAGGAGGTAAAGCTTTATGGAAGTAGATTGCCCAGTCTTCCTTCCATGGAGTGGATGGTGGGTTTGAACAGCCAGCCTTCTGGTTAGCAGTCAAATGCCTTAGATATTACGCCACCAGGCAGGGTAAGGCCTGAAGGTAAGAGCAGGTCTGGCGTGCTTGAGGAGGCCATCTGGTGGCTGGAATATTAATATCAAGAGAGAGAGTAGCAGAAGATGAACCCCTAAGGAACGGATAGGAGGTGAATCATTAAGGATGTCCTTGGCCAAAGTGAGAACTTTGACTATTAGTCTGAGTTAGCTGGGGATTTATTATAGGGTTTTAAGCAGCTGAGGGTTCTGATCTGTCTTGGTTTTAAAAGAATCCCTCTGGCTGCTTTGAGAATCGTAGACAGGAGGGTGGTAGTGGGAGAGGGAGGTGATATAGGGAGAGCAAGGAGATCTGTTAGGAAGTTGCTGAGGTAACCTAAGTGAGAGATGATGGTGGCTGGGACCAAGGCGGTAACAATGAACGTGGTGAGAAATGGGCAGATTCTGGATATATTTTGAGGAGAGAGACAATGGGATTTTCTGAGAAATTGTAAGTAAGATGTGAAAGAGGATGAGTCCAAGTTTTTGTGCTGAGCATCAGGTAGAAAGAAGTCACCATCAATTGAGATAGTGAAAGCTACAAGGGGGACAGATTTTTTTGGGAAAGACCCGAGTTCATTTTTGTGTCTATTAGATGTTCAAGTGGAGCTGTAAAGTAGGCAGTTGGATATACTAGTCTGAACTTTGGAATAGGATTAAATGAAGCAATGCTTTATAAAGCCATTAGCACATGTCTGCTGTTATAGTAGTAATTATTGTTAAGTGGTAAACGCACTGCTGTTGAGTCAACTCAGACTCAGTGACACTATAGGTGTAGGACAGAATACAACTGCCCTCATAGGGTTTCCAAAGCTGTAAATCTTTATGGAAGCAGACAGCTGCATCTTTCTCCTGTGGGGCAGCTGCTGGATTTGAACCATCTACCTCTGGTAGCATAGTGGCTAAGACAGTTGCCTGCTAATCAGACGGCTGGCGGTTCAAACCCACCAGCCACTCCTCGGAAGGAAGGTTGGGCAATCCTACTTCCGTAGTGATACTGCCTCAGAAACCCAAGGAGGGG